AGGCTCTTCTCAATAGAGGTCAAAAGAAAGAGCAGGATTCAATATTAACATACATATGGATGGCAATGGGGCGGTGCGGGTTTGAACGTTAGCGGGGCGGTGCAGGTTTGAGAGTTTGCGGTTGCGGGGCGGGGCGGGTTCAATTTTTAAATAAAAAATATAAAGCGGGGCGGGGCGGGTCGCGGGTGGGGATTTCAATTGTGTGTACTGATTGCTACCGCATTGTCCTAATGATCAGTTTGGTGATCTTTTTTTCACGAATTAAAACATATGTTACTGTTAAACATTGGTTAATTGACAGCTGACGCATTGGTATTATTCTGGAAATCTACAGAAAAGAAAATAAGATTATATATAAATGAGATATAATCCCTTTCTTGTGCACTGAAAAACAATGACAAGCAAAAAGGCTACTTCAAAAAAGCTAAGTATATGAAAGAGAGAGAGAACAATTTGGATATAATTAATTGTTTTGTTAAAAAAATCAGATTTAAGTCTAGCTTTCTGAAAAAGAAAGAATTTTTATTTAAAAAAATTGTGGGGCGGGGCGGGGCGGGGCGGGTGAACGCGGGTGGAGTGCGGGGCGGGTGAACGCGGGTTTAAATCCTATGCGGGGCGGGGCAAGTTTAAATTGCGCGGGTTCGACAGAACCCGCCCCGCACCCGCACCGCCTGCCATTCCTAATACACAAAGAAGACCCACTGGATTTTTAGGCAGTCCACCAAATACTAAAGTAAGCACTAATGGTTTTACTTTTAGACTCTCAAAATCAAGTTAGCTTTTCCTTTCGAAACCTGATATTAGTCTCTAAGTTAAGAAAGTGTTAAAAAGCACCAAGACCTGTTGGGGGCTCTAAGCACAAAGCACAATTAATACACCGACTTTAACGAAGAAAATCAAATGAAGAAATTTATTTATTTATTTTTTCTGAAAAAAAATACAAGGAATAAAAAAAATCTAAGTATTATAAGAAAAAATAAATACAAAAACAATAATTATATGAGAATTAGAAGAACAACAGTTAAGTGAAATATATGAAATAAATATCATAATAATCAAGTTAAAAATACCATTTCAAATTTCTAAATCAAACAGCAAAGAAATCTGTAAATTTCTAATTCAGATTCAGTAACTGGTTTTCTTTTTTTGAACAGGAAAAAAAACTACTAAGTCAATAGAAAACCATTTGATTTTTCTTTTTTGATAATCGTGGCGTCCTGACCAGCTTGCGTGCACCTCGACTAATTTCATAGGGTACCTGCTACCTCCCACCAGCACAAGTACCGGGTTACTCTGTCCACCAAGGCTTGGATAGATGGAAGAAATCACATAGTTATTTTTGCTTCCGCTAGGATTTGAACCTGAGATGTCGTGATTTTCAACCCACTTCATTAACAACTAGGCCACACCTCCGAATGCAAAATACCAGTTGATCTTCATCCCTTAACCATTTATATAGTTCTCAGTTTTTAGGCAAGTGTTTATTCCAATCTTTTGGATCCGCTACCACGGCCTATTTAAGAGTCAAGTTGTAACCCTAAGAAAGGTGAGTTTGTGTAGTAGTTTGATCGGCCACTTAAATTCTATGTTGCATGGACTCTTCAATTTAGCCACCGCACCCCTATCGACACTGTTATTGGTAAGGATGTGGGATTCGTACTAGATGTGGTCAATCGAGATCGGGTACTTTGACCACAATCCATGGACAAATTTGACGAAAAATGAAAGATTGAATTTTAGTTGTTGCCTACTAGTGCCTACAACTTGAGAAATTCTCTAAATGAAAGATTGAATTATTGGCTGCACTCTATTACCTATAAGATTTTCACATAATATCTCTCATAATAACAACAACATACCCGGTGCGGTCCCACAAGTGGGGTTTAGGAAGGGTAATGTGTATGCAGACTTTACCCTTATCTTGTGAAGGTAGAGAGGTTGTTTTCCGATACAAAATATCTCTCGTACCTTTGGATATTTTTATAGATCTATTTTTAATCGAATCCCTGCACTCGTATCCGTACGTTGATTCATACCCCCGAATCCTAAAATTTAGATTATGAATATCCATCCTCTAGATCCGCACCCCGATCCAGTACCCGCACCCGAGTCCGAGCAATATAGCTTAAATTTATATTGTAATAATTACTTGTATCAACCAAAATATATCCCAACTCTGATCTTATTAGTCCTCCAAAACAGTACAAAGCAATTCAAGATGGAATGGAGAGAAAAAGTTTTCACATGTATAGAGCAAATGAACTAGATAACGTCACACTGGGAATTATCAGCATCCAGGCAACTTATAAGACTCACCATTTGAGCTTGGGGTCCGTGAAAACTGGGCCCTTTTTCATGCATCCAAGGTATGTTTGTGAGTGAGAACGCTCTTTGACCAAAAGAAGTGAAAGGCGATCTGTGATGGAAAATTAAAGCAACTTGAGTAGATCAAATTATAGAACATGGTAAATGCATAGTATGAACCATAAATAAAGAACAGTAATAATAGAAAAGGCTTCAAAGTTATAGTCACCTGGCCGCAAATATATGTCGTCATCTGCTTTAACATAAAACTCAGAATCATAAAGCGCATAGGCAGCTTTGAAAAAAGCTATGCTGTAAGAACAACTTGAGTAAGTATAGATGACAAAAAAGAGGGGTATGAATTATATAACAGAGCCAGAACTAACGTTTTGTATGGGAGCTTACTGTACTCCTCTTCAATGTCTAATAGTAAAAAATCATCATATTCCGCTATCTCTTTCTTAAGCTCTGCCATTTTGGATTTATCACTTGTTCTACCAATTATAAATCTAAAAGCCAAGCCAGTGGCTTCTTCTAACCTGCAATTCCATTTCAGTCGGTTTAGCAAAGAATAGTTTCATAAATGCATAGAGACCAGGCAATACAACTGCATATACACATAATGAATAAGGGAATTGCATAGAGTTCATTAGTGAAACATCTCACTCTGAGACGCTTAGTGAAAACAGCTTTTTGCAAAAGGAACAGAAAATGTCTCACCTTTTGGATAAAGATGGCCAGAAACTTCCAATTCAATTCAACAATACCAAGATAATGTTGTTCTATGAATAGCTCAATTTGAACATGCTAAATTAAGATAATTTATGTAACTGCATGTCATACACATCGCTTTGTTCCCCATGAGTTCTTGCTAGTCAAATTTCATGACACAAGCAGATAATATCACAGTGCTTATAAGAGTAGTGCTATCCAGAAAGTAAAAAGAGATAGAGTGTTCATTAAGTTATTTTTTATAAATAAATACTCCTAACATGTCATTTTGATTATTAAAGTCATTTAAACAAGATTTTCATCTTGATGATTAAACGAACAACTTATATTCTGCTCTATTCTTGTCAATTTCATTTGAGTACCAAACACTCTGTATTTTAAAGTAAAACTAAAGGTTCTCTAAATCACACGCGTATCCTTACAAACATACCTAGTTTAATCCCAGCTATATATACAAGTGTTTCCATTCTGTCATTTTCTTAGCTAAGTCTGTAAGGTTTTAAGAAAAATTAACAGCAGATCAATAAACTAAAAAAAAAATACTAATGTAATTACATTCATTACAATTTACAACAAAAAAATAGATAATACCTTTGAAGGCCTTGATGATCAGAGGGGAACCAAGTCTGCCGCAAAGACCGGCGACGGCCAGTGGATCCGAACCCGGTTTGGATCCCAACAAAGCCCATAACTTTATGCCTCTTTTGCCCTTCATCTAAAAGCCCCGTATCTTTTCCCGTAGCTCCACTAGCTTTACTGGAACTTTTATCCCACACAACAGAAACAGATCGAGGTTCAGCATATTTACATTTGTGCCCCAAACCTTGCCTCGAAATTGCAATGAAACCGAATACAAAGCCAGCTAGACCGATAAGAGAACAAAGGATCAGGACCGTCGATCTACGGGAGTTAAGGGGAGAGGAAGATGGCCAAGCATTGAATGATTTAGGAGATGAAGGCATTGAAAGAAGAAAAATTGTTGCCTTTTTGGGAATTGGAAGTTGAAAAAAATGGTGATTTTTGAGATTTTATGAGTTTTTAAAGTGTTGGATAGTGATGTGTGAATTACTAAGAAGTTTAATGGGACAATGGAGGTACAGTTTACAGAGATTGAAAGTTAAAGGTTCAGTGGGTGGGGGGTTTAGGGGGGAGAAGAGGGAAGAAGAGCAAACTTTACGTTTCAAAATTGGTGTTGGGAGTTGGGGTAAGCTCTCATTTTGGAAGTTATATTAAGACCTCTGTTCTGTTTGTTGTTCTGCCAATGTTGGGTCGTCTTTCTCTTTCTTCCTTCTTCGAATTGGCATATATTTATTTAGTTTCCTAACCTCTTTTACATTTTGAGACAAAAAAATTATGCAACATTATTCATTTATTTGTTTGTTTCTTGTTGTTTCACCTTTTGTAATGAATGAGAGTAGACTAGAGAAAAGTGAGAAAAAGAGAGAGGAGAAATATTTGGTGAGATGAGAACATACAATTCTAGTGATAGAAGTCGTAAACTTGATGCTACAAGTAGGCTATGAAGAGTCAGAAAAAATATACTTACGTACTACAACTAACAGAGAGGTGGTGGAGGGGAAACCGTACACTTGGTGATGCAGGGTAAAATTCTAAACGAAATGCTTATTAGTGAGTGAGGTTAACCTTTTCATAGAGCTTATTAGTCAACCTTCTCATTTTAGACGAAGATAAATACATTATGTTTTGTTAAAATTGATAATTAGAGAACGACAAAGTAATATTATCATAAAAAGTACTAGATTACTAGGAATAGCGTGATGGAGTATTCTACAAGTTAAACTAGTTTCCAATGCGTCTAGGGAGAGCTAGCTGATTCTTTTTGGGGGCTATTTCTGCTTTTTCTCTTCAAGTTTTGTTCATCGGTCTTGAAATTATTCTTTAATCTCGTAGTAATTCTTTCATTTTCCTCATTTTCATTTTCCCTTTGACAAAGTCCACTAGCATTATGCACAAAAACTAAAAAATAATCAATGTCATTTCCCGTTCCCTTGCAATACATTAATTCTCTGTGACACTTCATCTAAACAAAATTGTCTTTCTTCGTGTATCTGCAAAGTATCTACTCTACAACCTACTTCCCGGTGGCTGCTAAACGTCACGACCGTTAATTCCTGAGAGAGTTTTGAGCACTCACCACGCAGCGCATGAACATCTGGGACTTCCTCTACTTGCAATTTATTAGAGTCCGACTTCCTGGTTTCAGTTTCAGGCTCTAAATATTTATGAGAGATGTTTCCTTCACAATCTTGACCGGGCTCATGAGTTTCTATATCACAAATCTTGTTTTCCATAAACCATACAGCTGATTCTTCATGGGAAGTCATGGAAAATTGACCATCAAGATTATTACCACCTTGATCTTCATTGAATTGCAAACTCTCAGACTGAGGTAGGTGTCTGACATCAGCTCCTGCATTGACATCTTGAGATGGCAAATGATGTTGAATCGGCTCAATAATGGTGACGCCATTTTCGTGGCAGGATGCTGTTTCTCCCGGATGAACTGCTTTCAGGGATGAAACATATTAGTTCCAGTTTTTAGCATCTCACCAGATTGTTGTGTTTAAAAATGAGAAGATTTCTGTGAAATTGAAGAACAATAAACACTAAGCACTCACCACTCAGTTGATCTGCCTCAGCAGCTTGAAACAAGGACTTCTTCAACCATACAGTTCCCGGGAACACCATGAGGTTGATATGACTTAGACTTTGTTTCTCGCTATCTTCTAAGGGTTCAAAGCCAAAGCCAGCAGTCCATGTTTCCACTAAACTTGGAATAGCTGATATTACAAGTTTCTCAACCTTGAAACACTTTAGCATCTAGAAGCCATGATCAAGGGAAACTGATAAGCATACATGGATAAAACATGATATTCATTGAAAGCCACAGAGTCGAGGAAAAGGTAGTGTATGTAACAAGCAAGGGATGATAAACTAGACTCAGTCCATAACCACAGAAAGTAGGCAACTTCCATCTCTCTCTCTCTCTCTCTCTCTCTCTCTCTCTCTCTCTCTCTCTCT